TCTTACATATCCTCGTTCATATAATGGCACATTGTGAAATGTCTTAGTCATACAAATACAAAGGCAGTGGAAAAGGAAGTTTCTGCCCCACATCCAGCAGCCACGTCTAAGGTGGCCACTGCTCCTGGAGTTTTGAATGCCCTTTGAGAAATAGAGTTGTTCCCTGGGATCAGGGAGGATTCATTCCAGGACCCCCTGGATATCAAAATCCATAGATGCTCAGGTTCCCTGTGTGTAGTGTTTGCATAGAACCGACACACACCCTGTGGTATACTGCGTCATCTCCAGACTCCTTATAGTACCTAATGTCATAGAAATGACATGTAAATCATTTTTATACTGTATTCGGGGAATAATGACAAAGTAAAAAGTCTTTACATGTTCAGGACAAGATGCAGGCTTTCTTCCAAATATTTTTGATCCATAGATTTAACCAAATCTGGGTTGAAATCATCTGGGGAAAAAATTCCAGCAAGCTTCAAAAAACGAAACTTATTTGAATGAAGTAGTGTGTAGGCATTGTATTAAGTATTGTATACAGGAAATGTGTATCAGAAAGGGCTGGAGGTGGTCAGTAGAGCACTTTCTTAGCATGCGCAAGACCCTGGGTTAAATCCCCAGCATCAAGGGAGGGAGGGAGGGAAAGAAGGAAAGAAGGGGGAAAAAGAAACAAAACACATGGGAGGCGGCGTGTAGGTTGCAGGCACACCCCATTTTATGTACGGAACATGCATGGCTTTGGAACCAGTCCCCGGTGGATGCTGGGGAACGACTGTGCTCCACACAGCTCCCCACTTCTTCCTGCACCGTTCGCTTGTGAACTGCGAGCTGCTGCTCTCACCCAACCTGTCTCGGAGATCTGCGCATCTCGCTTGCTCCCGGGGAGGCTGCGTGCCCAGAAGGCTCTGTGCCTTTGCACTGGCCCTGAGCTGGGCCCTGCCAGGCACCAGGCTGTCTCCAGCCTTTGGTGACCACAGAGGGTACTGAGAAGCTGTGCTTTCGTGTCCACACTTGGTCTCTGCAAAGGAGGCTGCTGGGCACATTGTGAAGTACAAGAGTTCTGGAAACATGTACACTTTTGATTTAAGAGATTGCCACATTGCTTTCAAAGAAGGTGCCTAAATTTAAACCACCACTTATCAAACTATCTGATTATTGATCTCCTAGGTTAAATAAATAGCAGGATTCTCACTGTAGCTTTTATTTAGGGATGGAAGGGGTTTGAAAAAATTTTGATAAGAAAAATTCCTCAGGAAACAGCTTATTTTATTTTTAAGTAATAAGAGCTGTTAGGGGCTGGGGATTTAGCTCAGCAGCACAGCGCCTGCCTGGCAAGCGCAAGGTCGTGAGTTTGATTCCTGGTACTGAAAAAAAAAAAAAGCTGTTAATAATAACAGTACAATGCTGTTTTATTCACTTCAGTTGAGTGCAGAGAATCAAACCAAGAGGATGAGCTGCACAAGGAAAGAGGCAGCGCCTCAGGGAAGGAAATTTCATGTTGAAAGTTAATGTATGCTTCTTGCACAAAGACCTTGGAAGCCCCTGGTTGACAGCTTTCTCGCTGCAGTCAGCCCCTAGACTGTGCCTGAGTGGCCACCAGGCCTCCTGTCCTGACTGAGGACAGAGACCCTTTGAGGGCCCCACCCTCGGGGCTCAGGGCACCCCTGCTCCTCCTCGGGGCTGCTGTGGATTCCACAGCCGTGCAAGCTACATGCCAGACACAGGGTCTTCTGACAAGTGTGGCAGGGACACAGGGACTTGTGGAGGAGATCGGAGAGCTGAACCGAAGAGGATGCCTTTGAAAACAACTCAGATTTAGAATCCTTTCAGTCAGGCTTGGTCGTGCATGCCTGCAGGCCCAGCATTCTGGCAGGGTGAGGCAGGAGGATTCGAAATTCAAGCTCAGCTCATGATTCAAGGGCTCAGCAAGACCCTGTCTCAAAATTTAAAAAAAATAGAAAGCGCTGGAGATGTAGCTCAGTGCAAAAGCCTTTGGTTCTTTCCTTACTCTCCCAAACAAAGATTTGGAAGGGGGTAACAATTATATGGAGTTGTTTTAGCCTTCGCATAACTCTCTGCCATAGCTAGATGCCCCCCCACTTCTTTTTACACTACCTTGGTTATATCACCCAGGAAAATTTCTCACTGCCAAATTTCACCTAAACATAGATTTTGGTGATGGCTGCACACATCTGTGACTAGACTGAAGACCACTGAGCTGTGTGTATATATATACATATATATATATGTATGTGTATATATATATTTAATTTTGTGGGGGTACTGGAAGTCAAACTCAGGACCTTGCCCTTGCCAGGCAGGTGCCATACTGCTGAGCTATACCCCTGACCTGAGTTGCATATTTTAAATGAGATAATATGATGCTTTTCCATCTCAAGAATGCTGTTACAATTTTTAATGTTGAGAGTAAAAGGTGACTTTATTTTTAATAAGTAAGGTGGCAAAATGCATCCAAGATGTCTTTTTGCTTTGAAGGTAGGCAATTTCACCCGGTACACGGCCCAGACTGTGCTCACAGCCCTTACATTTAGTGCCTCTCACCTGACCTGAAGTCACCAAGGAAGACAAAAATAGCTTACTATTTGCCCTTGGCCATTTTTAAAAGAAAAACATCTGTAACTGCTCAGAAAGCACAGTGTGCATATTTTTATATCAGAACTCTGTACTTTAATATGTGTGTGCAAACTATCCCATGTACAATAATGTGCACTGTGTAAGAATGCTATGTATAGTTTTAGTACTTTTTAATTCTGTGACCTGTTTTCTGACCAAGTGTGGGCAGATGAATTTCGGTATGATGGGATGCAGTATAGTTTCATTCATTGAGGCTTGATCATTAAATTTAAGGACTTGACTCTGAGCTTCTTTGATTGGAACTATTACAGGCGATTTAGTCTGCAATGGTGGTCATCACTTGTTATTCTTGGGCACGCTGTTCCTTGATGTCCATCACTGGAAAAGTTTAATCCTTGATGGATCATCCTCATGCCAGAAAAATGTAATTGGGAAAACAAATCTTCTTTAGCCCATGTGATACTCATTCTGGGGCGGCACAGCCCAGTGGTTAGAGGCAGGTAAGCCCTGCAGTCAGGGCTCCGTGGTTCCACTCTGGATGAGTCCCAGGCCTCTCTTCCACAAGGTAAGGGAGTGGCAGGACCAACACTGAGGTTCTGATCGACAGCTGTGGGCACCCTGTGCCCAGTGCCTGGCACACAGTGTGCTTTCAGTGGCATTGTGTGCTACTGAAAAAGATTATTTACTTTTAGGAACAGAATGTTCATGTTCCCCTTAAATTAATATATCTAACTCCTCACTCCGGGGGTTGGTATTAGGAGGTGGAGCCTTTGGAAGTGATCAGGTCATGGGGACAGAACCCTCTGAAATGGACTCACTGTCTTTATAAAAGACCCATACAGGGAACTTGATCCTTCTACCACGGAAGCTAGAGGGAGGACGTGGCTCTGAGGAGCTGGCCCTCACCAGAGTCTGTCAACACCTGGACTCCTCAGCCTCCAGAACTGTGCAGAGTAAATTTCTGTTGCTTATAGGTTGCCCACTCTGGTATTTGGTACAGCGTCCACATGGACTTGACAGTTACTGTGAACATGCCTGAAGCCCAGGCATGTCTTCCTGTACCATTACTTTCCTCCCTGAATGCGGACGTGTAGTCATTCTGTTCCACACAGTTACTGAGCGACTGTGTGCCCAGATGCGGAGAACGTAAAGATGTGAGTGCGCCTGTGCTCCTGTCTTTGTTTTGTGGTTCTGTAACAAAGCACCAGAAGCCTGGTACTTCGTAAGTGCTGATGTGGCCCACGATTCTGGTGACTGGAAGGACCAGATGCCTGCTGCTGGGGTTCTGAAGAAGGCCCCCCTGGCTGTTGACAGTATGACCGAAAGGCACGAAGGGAAACAGCTGCCATACTGTGGGGCGGCCTCACTCCCTGACAACCCAGGCTCATGAGAACTAATTCAGTCCTGTGAGGCTCACACCCCTGCAGCAGCCCTTCTGCATTCCGGAGGGTGGAGCCCCGCAACCACACTTGCACCCGTTTGTCCCATCTCTTGCTGGGGCCAAGCCTCTGGCCATGAGCCTTTTGGGGGGCAGCCCACATCCACACCACGGCAGCCTTCGTCGGGGATGCACGCATCCCACTCCTGTCGGGAGCCTTCTGAAGGGTGGGCTTGCAGCTGAGCTTTGAGGTGGGATGATTTTCCCAAACGGGGACAAAGAGGATGGGGAGGGGATTGGCAGAGCAGGAGGGAATAGACCAAGGGTCCTTAGTTGCAAGCAGGACAGTAGAGGAGTTTGGAAAGACAGCACCAGCTTGATGACTATCAGTTCCTATTTGGAGAAATATTATTTTGAAATACACAGAAAATAAAGCCCGGTCAAATCTGCCTGGCTTGCCAGCCTACCTTGCCGGCGAGGACTCGAGGGGCCCAGGGAGCCTGAGGGAGATTTACTCTTGCTGTTATAGCAGTGTTTGTTCGTGGCCACACTCTAAGCCGTGCTGACAAGGGGAAGGTGGAAGCAAATCTCCTGTCCCTCCTTGCCACAGGGGCTGCGAGTTCTCATAACTTCCCAGGCATCTTCTGTGAAAATCGAAAAGGAGGTGGCACTTCAAATGTCCCAAGGCACTTGGGCTTCTTTGCTAATCTCTGCAAACCGTACCACGGTGAAAGCTGTCTCCTGCAAGTGCATCGGAGGATGAATTGTCCGCAGTGGAATTGCAAGGCCAAGAGATGTAACAGGGGTTCATGAGTGTTTGTCCCTGGGGGCAGCTGAGTGAACAGCCCCCTGGAGCAGGCAGAGAACGTCACACTTCTTCAGTGATGCCAGGCAAGGCTGCATCCTCCTCTGCGGAGAGCCCAGGAGCCCTCCTGAGATGCCACCTCGTCTGCTTCCTGAAAAGTGTTGTACTCTAAACACAATCTGCGTGTTTTCTTAGCGTGACTTTTTTTCCCTCTTTGAACAGGAATCTTCGCTTACATGAACTACAGAGTCCCCCGGACAAGGAAGGAGATTTTTGAGACCCTGATTAAGGGTCTGCAGCGCCTTGAGTACAGAGGCTATGACTCGGCAGGTGGGTGCCGCAGGTGACCTCGCGGGGGAGGGACATTGTGTGGGCATCTTGTGGTCTCTTCTCTCACCTATTTTCTTTATAATGGCACTTTTTACAACTTGTGTGTTCTTTCTGATAGTTAATTTTTTAATGTAAAAATAACACTCTTTCATTAAAGAAATTTGAAGCTTATAGAAAATTACAGAAAACTATAGAAAAGAAGTAAAAGTTTAAAAAATCTCTGTCAAAAATACTCCACATTGTACTTTCTATTACGGTTCTTGTTCCCCAGTATTGCCAGTCAAAGATAATGATACAGTTTTCAGGAAATCTATTTTGAAAGAAGCTCACTGTCACAATACTTCACAGTGAGCCAAGAAATGTGTGCTTAGATCCTTGGGCTTGGCCGCCTCACCCTCTCCCAATGGCGATAGCAGTGTTGCTGAGCCTGTAGCACGCAGGCTATAGCAGACACACCAGCCGAGGCATTCCGGCAGCCGAGCATCAGAAACAGTGCACAGGGGCTGTGCACATACAAGTAACAGCCGACCTGCGTGCTGCTCTCACACTAAGGGAGGATAGCCAAGGTTTGACAAATGATCAGCACACACACAACAGCAGAGACCACATTACTTGTGCGAAAGCGTGCCAACTGCAAACGTTTACCTTTCAGTAAAAAGCTGTATCATGGAAAGCTGTTGTGATTTTCTAAAGACAAACGATGTCGGTGTGTGCGTTGTTTTTGCTAAACTACATCGTCAGTATTCAGGTTTAATTGCAGTGTTGGTTGGCACTTGGCAGTGAACACGTGGGCTTTGGGCTGCAGTTTGGGTGCTCCTCTCTAAGAGGTTCGCCAGTGCTGGGCTGTAGTCTCAGTCCCTTTCTCCTTTTCTCCCAGGCTGCTTAATTAAAAATGGGAAACAGACCAAATTCCCACCTATTGGTAGGTGGCAGAGGAGAATCTGATACAGCCGTCCAGGGGAGGAGTGTGTGGCCGGTTAGGAAGATGTTGTTTAGGAAGAGTTTAGGATAATAAAGAAGTGAGAATATGTATGAAATGGTAGGGGCTGGGGATGTAGCTCAGTGGTAGAGTACATGCTTAGCGGGTGAGGGCCTGGGTTCCACCCCAGGATGGGGCTGTATCGATTCTATTCCTCCCTGCCCAGAGGATACTGAGATGCTGCAGGGACTGACGGTGGGCGGTGCGGTCATCCCTCAGTGTCTGTGGGGCACTGGATACCGAAGCAAGCACATGCTCAGGCCCCATCCGTAACATGACATGGTATTCGCATAAAACCTACCCACGTCTCCTGTGTACTTTCAGTCATCATTCGATTTCTTAGAATCTCTAGAGTCCTTAAGACCTAATCAGTGGAAATGCTATATAAGTAGTTGTTGTAATGTATTACTTAAGGAAGAATGACAAGAAAGAAGTCTGAATATGTCTGGTACAGGTGGTTTTGTTTTTGGTTTTCTTTTTTTCTGGTGTTTTTGAGGCAGGGTCTCACTCTGCAGTTCAGGCTGGCCTTGAGCTCACTTTGTAGCCCACGCTGGTCTCAAACTCGCAACAATCTTCCTGCCTCAGCCTTCCAAGTGCTGGGATTATAGGCGTGCACCACCACGCCCGGCAGGTGCAGTTTTATTTATGTGCTTTGGAGTATTTTTGATCAGTGGTTGGCTGGTCCTGTGGATCCAGGAGTGGGCGGAGGGCGGGCTGTGCCTTGTGCTGATGTGAGACAGAGCGCGCGTTCCACTGTACAAAGTAACCTCTGTGGTTGCAATTTTATGGCATTCTAGAGTAGCAAACTAGTCTGCTGTGATGGAAGCAGGAAGAGCGGTTCCTCTCTGGGGTGGGGAGATTGAGTGGAAAGACCGAAGGGATCCTTCTGGGTGGTAGAATTGTTCTGTCTGGTTGGGGTGTGGGTCGTGCTGGGGTGCACATTAATCAAACTAATCGATGTGTTCTTTATGCTTTGTGTGTTTTGGGCATTTTTAAAAAATTAAAAATGCCAAAAAAATGAATGTTTAAATGGCAGGTGTGGCTATCGATGGGAACAATCACGAAGTCAAAGAAAGACACATCCAGCTAGTCAAGAAAAAGGGCAAAGTGAAAGCTCTGGATGAAGAACTTTACAGTAAGTGGAAAACACTTCTCCTTGGTAGAATCAGGGCAGAATGGGCCACTTGAAAGCATTTTCTTCCGACAGCATTCACCACTAAAAATGGGAGCTTTATCGAAGCTTGGAGGAAGAACAGGAGGGTTAAACCCATGCTATAAAACTTTCACTGAGTGAGGGGTGGCTTCTTTTAGGGAGTGGCACGTGGAGAAGAGAACTTTTTAAAAAATTTTTAATTGTTATGTATTTAACTTTTCTGGCAAATGATACTACTTTTCTTTCTTTTTTTTCCTCTTTTGATGATCAGAGCTAGATCCTTGTGCAAGCTCGGCAAGCTCTCTTCCAGCTCAGTTGCATGTCCAGCCGCATTTTCTTTTTACAGGCAGTTTATTTTGATTAAGGAGTGAGTTGAGTTGTGGATAAGAACTCGGTAAACTTTAGCACAGGTGTGGCCCAGTTCCCCCAGGAGGACATGTGTTGTTGACGGTGCTGTTGGCATAGCTGATGTGCCTTGATGTAATGAAACAATTTTAAGAGTTTTGCATCTGTGTTTATTTTAAAGGGCAACAAACTGATTTTTCTTTCCCCTTTAGAACAAGACAGTATGGACCTAAAGGTGGAGTTTGAGACGCACTTCGGCATTGCCCACACGCGCTGGGCCACCCACGGTGTCCCCAGTGCTGTCAACAGCCACCCGCAGCGCTCAGACAAGGGCAACGGTATGTAGTCAGCCCGCATCTGTCCCTGCGGGTTCTGCCTCACCCGGACAGTGTCAGGGTGGCCTGAGCCAGAGTAGCTCCTGCTGCCTCTTCCACTGCCCTGGCCTCCTGCCATAATCCAGGCGTCCCTTCTCCTAAAGCCCTGGGGCTCAATCAGGTGCAAACTCAGCCTGGCTCTGGGGTGCCGCTGACCTCCCCATCCCCACAGGAGCAGAAGGAGACCTTCCCAGGAGGCCTCTAGACCTTTGGAACCCAGCCCCTGAGGGGAATCTGGCTGTGTATTAACCCATTTCCCACTGTAATACCGGATGCCCAAGCGGGGTACTGTACAGAGAGGAGTGGCTTACTTAGTGTGCAGTTCATGGCGGGGGAGTCCATCGGTGCGCACTCTGACCAGGCCCTCGGCTTTGTCACAGCATGGTCGAAATGTGGAAACTGGCTGCACCCACAGGGGGCCAGGCATATGGGGTGGCCCTGCCTTATAACTCACTCACCAGAACTAACAGGGGCCCCTGAGAACCGTATCTGTTTCTTCTGTGAGCTCAGCTCCAAAGAATTCGCCTCGCAAAGGCTCCTTTACTTCTCACAGCACCACCCTGGTGACCCCTATGTGGGTGTGATGGGGGGCTGTCCACCAGGGAAGACAATTTGGGGAGTGAGCCAGGGTCACGTCTTGAGACAACTCCTGGCATAGTGCAAACTTTGCCTCACTTTACATTCAACTAAGGATCAAAACATCAGAATAGTTCATGGTGCGGGCTCCTTGGCAGGCACTTAGCTCGCTGCAGCTCCTCAAGAGGGAAGGCTGGGAAGAGAGCAAAATCCCCTGCTTGGTGTCCCTCACCCACTGGGGGGCAGGTACCCAGGGCAGTACTGTGCAGCATCAGACAGGAAGGCCAGGTACCCCAACCCAACACAAGGCTCGGAGGTGCAGCTTCTCACCAGAGCACTGCAGAGGGTTCAGCAGCCGGACTCCGAAAGGAAGGCACCTTCCCAAGAGCAGAAGGCAGGCAGAGCAGTGGGAGGTGGCAGGAGGGCCTGGGACCCCGTGTGTCTGCACGGTCTGAGGGTTTTGCTGGGGGCTCTCCCCTGGGGGGTCATCCCACAGTAGAGAAGTCACCCTGTACCCGGGATAAGGACGGCAGGCCCTATAGTGCTGAGGACTTGGCAAAACCCCAAGTCATACAGAAGCTGGAGCACCCTGGAGCAAACACTGCCCAGACCATGTGCCTTGTGAGGTTGCAGCCTCAGCTCCAGACTCCAGCCTTCACCCTCGGGTTACAGTGAACCTCATTAGAGACCCCTGCCACCCCTCAGTGCAGACAGTGACTCTTCCTGCAGCCTCAAAGCAGAGAGGCTCCAAGAAGTGCCCCCGTGAGCAGACCTGGGGCTGCGCTCTGACTCGGGATGAGTAATCGAAAAGAAAACAAAGGCGAGAGTGAACAACCGTAATGCTGGCAGTGACAGTGATAGCATAGAGACAGGAGGCTACAGAGACCTCTGCTGGGACTGAGGGTCTGGTTCCAAGGGATGAAGCTGCCCAGTCCCACAACAGGAAAAGGAAGTTTTTGCAAAGAAAACAAGAATAGGGAATAAATAAGTCTAAGATGAAAGAAAATTAAACAGTTAAGAAAATAATGTAAAAAAGTAATGCCACAAAAAAACAGTGAAAACCTGGGCAGAGGAGTGGATGCAGCCAGTTAAGAGAGCCACGCTATGGATGACGGGCACCCCCAAAACCAAGCAGAATAGCAAAAAAAAAAAAAGTAAAATTATAGCAGAACTGAACTCCATTTCTCTTTTTAAATTTAAACTTATTTTTTACTAACATATAGATCCATTAACGTCGTACATATTTAAAGGGTACCATGTGAAAGCTCAACACACGTATACTCCTGGTAATGTTTCAAGCACAGGCTCATCTTAGTCAAGCCCTCTCATTTCTATGCAAAAACAAACAATAGGTTTTCTTTGAAAAAGAGGAAGTTGTGGTGACCAACATAAAAGACTAACAGAAAAGGTTTTAAAATATGTCTTTAGCAGAAGAAAATTTTGAATTGGATATTTAGTGTGAAGGGTCACTGAACAAGAGAAAGTGTTTATGAAGGGCACATGATATCTAGACATAACCCAGGCGATCACCAGATTCCAAGGGAATAAGGAATGTACCACCTAGGATGAAAGGGGAAGGAGTTACTTCTTCAGACTCTCAGGCTGGCCTAGACCTTTCCTCCCATTATTCATCAGCTACTCATGAAGCCAGTGCAATGGTGCAATGGTGACGGGGAGCAGGGGACACCCCTCACCCCCAGGGACTCTGGAGATCCCACCTGTGCCGGGGGCAGCCCACAGCAAGGGGTGTGCAGCTGATGCCCAGGGGAGGTGGGAGGAGCTGCAGCAGGCTCACTCTGCTGAACAGCCACACAGGAAAATGGGGGAGCTCAGAGGTGCCACAATGGGGTTCCGCCTAAGAATTTTAAAGTGAAAACTAAAAAGTTAAACTCAAATATTTTTATAATACAGTGCAAATCAAATAAAGCACATCTGCAAACTTGCGGCCCCTTTGAGCCAAGATCCTGTTGGAAATGACTGGAGTCATTTTCGGATCATGACGAGTTAAGCATCCCTCACATATCAAAACTTAATAATACTGTAGTCCACAGCTAAGAACTTTCCGCAGGCTCAGGCTGGTGGATGCTTGTCACCTAAAGACAAATGTGTTTCCTCACCACAGACTTTGGTCCTGCTTAATAGACGTCTTCGTAGGAGTCGAGTTTACAGAGTGCTTGCAAGCCATTGAGTCGTTTTCCTATGCATCTGACTTGAACTTCATTTCTTAACAGCATTGTTAACTTCACTAAACTTTTCTTTCAGAATTTGTTGTCATCCATAATGGGATCATCACAAATTACAAAGATCTGAGGAAATTTCTGGTAAGATACTTCCCCAGGGGACTGTCTAAATCAAGTGGTATTGATCTTCCTCCAGAAACTTTCCAAACCAAATACAGGAACTAAGTAAGACTCACACTCAACCACAGCACACACTGACATAAACCTCAGCCCCTGCTGAGCCTCCAAGCTCAGATCTTGTTGAGGGAGATGCCAGGGCTGTAGCATTTATCTCAAGAGTGACGGCAGAGTCATAGACTCGGACTAACATGAGTTTGGTTTTGGTAAAGTGGCTGCACAATTCATCTACCAACTGGAATGTGGGGTGGGAAGCCAGATGGTGAGTGTCCCCCACATGAAAAGGTCGGGTAGAGTTGGTTGGGATGTGGTAGATTTGACTCAACATATTTTATCACTTCGACTGCTATTATTTTGCAATATCCAGATTAATGGCAAGGACAAGCTTCCGAAGAGGGATGATCTCAGGGAACTCTGAGATGACTCACAGGCATTTGGCTGTATGATTCTGGCGCACACTCTTTGTCCCTTCCCACTTTTGCTTTTCTCGCCTTGAGTTGAATCCTAAGGGACTAGAAGGGCTTGGCCAGGCCCGCGTTGTGCAATGACCATCATCTGTCCCCCATGTCCACCTTCATATTCCAGGAGAGCAAAGACTACGAATTTGAGTCAGAAACAGACACAGAGGCCATCGCCAAGCTGATTAAGTACGTGTTTGACAACAGGGAAACTGAGGACATTACATTCTCCACACTGGTCGAGAGAGTCATTCAGCAGTTGGTGAGTTACAGTCCCATCTTTCTAAATCATTCCTTTATTCCTTTACTTTTCATAAGCATTTATCAGGAAATTTGCACAAAGTACCAAGCATGAAAGCAATGGGGATGAAAGTCGGCCCATCCAAAACGCCTGCACTGGGAGGCTACGTCCCACGGAATGAGCTCTGTGGTGTGGCAGTAACATCCAATAGAAAGAGGCTGCAGGGAGACGGGAGACGGGACGAGTGGGGGGGGGGCGCGGGGGATTGAGCTGTTTGATTACAGAAGGGTGCAAAGGTATGGTTCAGGGACAGAAGAGGGTTGCGCCCCCAAGGAGGACTGTGTTTTCATGAGTGTGTGTAGCAGATAGCAGAGCACATCTCTGTGCTGAAGGGAATGGCTTGGGGAAGAGAGCAAGAGAAACTGGATGTCCTACAGGGCTAGACCCTGGGAGCAAAGTCCCTACACACTGAGGAGGCTCTCCAAGAGGAGGCCCCTCCCAGGAGGAGGAAGTTTTAGCTAAGCACATCCCCCCAGATGGTCCCAGGTGGGCATCGCTGCCAGGGGTCTCCGTCGGTCTGGGCAAACACTTGAATTTATGCTGCTCTCCATGAAATCCACAAGTTCTGGTCTCTGGCACTGCAGTGTAGTGCTGTTTTGCTTTCTCTCCTGCCCTCACCCTGCACAAGCTGCTCCATTCAGTTCTCCAAGTGACCGCAAGGCTGCCTGCCAGGAAGAAGTGCCGGGAGATTACCTGGGCAGCAGGCTGCAGCAGCTGCTCTGTGCATGAGTGGCCCTTCACCCTTCTCTCCTGTGCTTCCAGGAAGGTGCGTTTGCGTTGGTCTTCAAGAGCATCCACTACCCAGGAGAAGCTGTGGCCACAAGGTGAGGCAAATTCATTGACATCTTCCTACTAAATAAGATAAAACCACCTGACCTGAGGCAGGATGAGGGTAGGACCTCTGGATAACTGGATCTAAGGTGCCACTGTGGCTCAGCCCCACTGACTGCACCCCACTGTCTCTGTCACCAGTGGCACTATAGCACCTAATTTTCTAAAATAGAGAAATCAGAAAGTTGGATTTTTGTGTGAGATCTCCAGATTTTTAGAATTTGACAACAAGTTCAAATTAAAAATGAGACTGTACAGCAGTGCCGGACCCAGGTTTTGTGGAGCTTGAAGCTTATCCAATTTTGGAGACATTCCTTTATGTAAAAGCAGGCAAAATTATGAACATGGACCTGGGAACCAAAGTGCACATAGATTTGGATTCAATACTGGAAAGTCCTTGAAGGCTCAGACCTGGGAACCAAAGTGCACATAGATTTGGATTCAATACTGGAAAGTCCTTGAAGGCTCAGAACTTATCCTTGAAGGTCTCATCACCTTCATGTCAGGGGCACCCTAAGAATCGGCCTACATGACCCTCTGTCATAGCCCCCCAAGGTGCCCAGCACTGCTTGGGTTCACAGAAGCAGACTAAGTGCCATCCTGAAGTGCTACATTCAGATGGTCTAATCATCTGATCATCTATCCATCTGTCCAATGTTTGCTGAGCACTTCCTGTATGCTGGCTCCCATGGACCTGGTGGCATCTGACCTGGTCTCTGCTCGTAAGGACAAGACAGAAGGGCAGAGGGTTCTGATAATCTGTGATGGGGGCTGGAAGGGTCCATGCACTGGGAGGGGGAGCAGATGTCATCCTGGGAGGCAAACAGTAGGAGCGTCTTCCCAGGCAGAGCATCTTCTTACCAGATGAGAAAGGCCGGGGACCAGAAAGAATATGGCACTTCGCATGTCGATGTGGCTGGGACAGCGGCAGGGAGGAGGGCGCTTCAGTGGGACTTCCCGTCTGTGTGCTTACCGACATCTGCCGTAGGCAGGTGTGGAGGACAGCAGTAAACAAGCTGGGGTGGACATTGCCCCTGCAGTTTGCAGGCTGGTAGGGTGTGGACACATGGGTGGAGGCCCAGCTCTGAAGGGCTGCAGTTGGCTACAGACTTCACTCTGAATCCCAGGGGAGCCATAGAGAATGTCCCTGTAGTCCTGGGAGGCCAGGACAGACTGAGGCTAACCTTTGAAGTCTCTTACATTATCTGTGCGGGAAATGATATAAATTTATCATGATTTTATTTTTTCTATGACTAGAACTAATTCAACATTTAGAATTTAATTCCACTTTTATCACAGAATCATGATACCCATTGGCTGCTATTAAATTTAGAGGGCCCTTTAAAATATGAAAATGCCTGCTATTACTGTTTAAAATAACTGCAGAAGGCAGCATGAAGAAACAATAAAGCTCTATTTTTCTAAGTTGCCTATACCTGCTGGCTCTGTAACCTCCAGGACAGTCTTTTGGATATCTTGGGAGAATTATTTGTCTCAAATAATTCTCGAGCAATCACAGAGTTTAATCTACAACAATAAGATCTGGGGAGTGCCGTTTGCCAAGAAAATTAGATAACTGTACACTTCCTCACTGGCATTGTCAGGAAGGCGGTTTGAGCTAGTTCCCTCTGGACCCAGAGTTATGTCTCTGATCTGCTTTAGACACAATAAAAGACTGCCCAAAATATTCAAGGTGCTCCCAGCACCTTTATCAATGCTACAGATTTCTCCCACACTTTAAGAAGTCAAAATAAGTATCCACACAGATCAATGCTGCTGGAAACCAAGGCCTTTTATACCTGAACCAATATTAAGGATCTGCATGGGGTCGGGTTAGCAGACCAAATCCATATATGCAGGCTGGATTCAGGTTAATTAACAAGTTGTTCATTAGTTCATTGATTTACATTTGTAAGAAATTGCCTGAAGTGTACAATAGATAATATGAAAGGGAAAGAAATTGCTCAAAGGAAGGAACAACTGGGATGAGGGAAAGAAAGAACTAAGGCTATCTATATATGGATAGCTGGGATAACTGTACTGCTGATGTCTGATGGTTTACTGAAAGGAACAGTTAATGCTTAATTTTTTTTTATATTTTGACCAATTTTGCATGCTTATGTCTGGTAATCTGAGCAACTGGTGTGAAGACAACAATATGCAATATAACAACCACTGAATTCCTACCATCCTGTCTAGTGAAACTCTGTATCGTCTCTAATGTTTTTTTAAATTATTTTCTTCTTCTCTTTAATGGTTTGATCAATCTTCCATTCTTACATCTAATAATCTGAGCAACTTCATTGAAGATAACAGTATGTAATATAGTAACCACTGTTAATTCCTATCATTTGGATTGAGACCCTGTGTCATTTTTAATGTCCTTGCTTTATTTTGTATTTTACTATTTTTTTTTTTACTATTCTCTTTAAAATAAAAAAAGAAATTGCCTGAAGTAAAATATTACCCCATTATACTAAATTAATGTGTTTGATATAGCTCTCATGCTGGCCTGTGTGTCCCTGCTCCGAGCCTTGGGACATCTTCCTGTAGTCAGGGTGTCCACCCTGTGGGACCTAACACAGTTCTGTTCATGCGATAGGCCTGGACTTAGGGACTCCACTTGGGATACTAGGAAGACACCTACCCAGCATGTCCGTGGCATAGCTAACGGTGCTTTCTTCCCCTGCAGGAGAGGCAGCCCTCTGCTCATCGGAGTGCGGAGCAAGTACAAACTCTCCACAGAACAGATCCCCGTCTTATACAGAACATGTGAGTGTCCCCCAGAAGACCTGGACAGTGAACACTAGTGTCTTAGGGCTGTACAGCTGCCCTTGGTCTGAGGCGGGCAGGCCTCCCTCTGGCACTCAGCTGGCATGGGCCCCAGATTGAAAAGATTTTTATGCAGACTCAGCTCCATCTTTTTAAAGGCTTTTCATTGTGGATATTTTCAAACACACACAGAAATAGAGCAGCACACAACTCCACATAATGGTGACGGTACCCTGATCTGAGTGTTTCTTCGGCTTGCTTTGGCTTGCACTACTCTCCTACTGTAGCCATTTAAATGCTCTCGTAGTGGTGCTGCGCTATTTGGGGAGCTTTTACATGATTTGGCTGACACAGCCGAAGCTAAAAATCGCAAATTTCTCCCACACGTGTTCAAAGGAGAACTGGGTTCCTTGCCACATGTTATGCAAATGAAGCACTCTCCTGGGGTTTGCAATCAGTTCCTTTGTTTACCAGGCAACATTGAGAACGTGAAGAACATCTGCACAACGAGGGTGAAGAGACTGGACAGCTCCACCTGCCTCCATGCAGTGGGCGACAAAGCCGTGGAATTCTTCTTTGCTTCAGATGCAAGGTAACGAAAACCTCTTCACTTTTCCTGGGGTTATGTAACCAACAAATGACTGTCTGAACACCTCCTCATGGAGGGCCTCACACACGGCAGCAAGTGCTCTACCACTGAGCTGCATCCCTGGCCCAACCACCTCTTACTCATTTCCCCACTTGAGCTGTTTTCTTGCACCTCAGCAAGGGCAGAGGCCAAGCCAGGTTTCAGCCCTCAGCGGCCCTCCTTGGAACCCGGGTATGGCCTGTGTTTCTGTCATGGGCTGCTCCAGTGGCCACAGCCCAGACCCGCTGGTCCACTGTTTGGGGCCTGCATGGAGTAACTGAATGAGTTGTCAACATTTTGAAATTGGGAGATTTCACATAAAAACCTGGATTTCTAGCACCTTTGAAAAAATAACAGATCTGAGTTCCTGGGGATGTGCTCCCCTGCCCTAGCTGTCTGGAAGGCTCCACCTCTTCTCTTTAGATGAGGCACAGCTTCAGCCCTTCCTTCACTGTACCCCACTTTTGCCAGGTGCCAGACCTCTCAAAATAGGCCAGAGAGTGAGGGGCTTGTATAGTTGGCTCTAAAGCTCATGTTCTCATCAACTCACAAAAGAATAATTTTTGAAACACGAGAACTCTTACCTCACATCTATTTTAGTACATAAATTACACACACACACACACACACACAGGTGAGGAAGATGAAGGGAATGGGAAGGAAGGAGGGAAGGACAGCAGGGAAAGGAGAGACAGAGAGGACACTAAAATACTGTCTTGCTACAAATGGAATGCTGCTATAGATATCAGCATTACTTCTTTCATCCGAGTTTTTCTTTCCATTCTGTGCGGCTTTTCACTTTCCATCTAACCTCCAAGGGGACCTTGCTCTGAGCAGAGAGGACTCCAGGCCAGCTCTCCTGTGAAGCAGGGAGAATCAGGAACCCAGAGCCAAGACTGCAAGGCCTGTTCCAAGAGCCCCAGACTGTGCCATCCTCAGCCCTGAGAGCTGGGGCAGCACTTCCCAGTCTGAGCCCCTGAAACATCATTTCAATGAGAGGCTAATATTATTTTAATGATTCTAAGACACACATTTTACATGCATTTATTTTATGTCTATAAGAGGCATCTTGAAATTATAATTTGCTGAAAGTTTTATTTCTTAAAACACACAAAATAATTGTGATCTTATGCTCAGTGGTCCCTAAATTACAATGAAAGAAATATGATACTAAAAAACCAAAAATGTTCTTTCTAAAATTAAAAAAGGATGAATGCCTGAAAGACGATGAGATGATGATTTGTAGGCAGTATGAGTACACGCGTCTGAACTCCAGCGGGAAGGCTGTTGAACTGATACAGCAGGACAGCGAGTAAGGATGGAAGCCCTGATGCCCGCAGTAGCCGCCGAACCACAGCTGTCTGGGGGACCACGCCCGCTTTCCTCCTTATCTCCTTGCCTGGCGAGGCACAGCAGGCTCTCTGCAAATGTTTGTTAAACAGAAAACAATACTATTGGCCACAGCTGAAGAAAAATGCTTTAAATATGTTTTTTAGAATAAAGCTTAATAAAAATAGCCAGATAATGTTTGGAGACCATTACAAAACTTTACAATGAGAAACAAGAAGAGATTTAAATACATGAAGAGATCCTACATTCACATTTCTAGCTTCTCTGGAAAAACTAGCTGATCTAAGCTCAGCCAGGCTCAACATTAAAGTTACGGGTATTGAATTTTAAAATTTAACAAGTAAGGACTTTTTAAAAATCTTGATTCTCTCCCAATCTATAAATTCAGTGCTATAATTAAAACCCTCGAGTCTTTCGTTTGCCTATGTTTTTAAAACTTAAAAAAGAGATCCTATAACATGTGGTGTACAAACAAGAAAGCCTGCTGATTGTGTCTTCTGTTGCTGTGACAAAGCACTCGATGAGGCAGTTTGTTAGAGACTCACTGAGCTCCTGGTTCTAGAGGCTGGGAAGTTTAAGAGCACGGTACTGGCATCCCTTGCTGCATCAGAAGTTCTCAAATTATTGTTTTGTAAATTGGTGAGAGAACAAGAGCTTTAGGCCCAGTGGAGGACGGAGGGTCTCAGAGCTGCATCATGACGCCGTGGAGGGCACTACCTGGTGAGACGCAGAACACTCACCACCACAGCAGAGCTACTCCCATGTTAACCCATGAGCCCCTCACGACCCCACTGCTCTGAAAGACGCCACCCCAAATGCGTTAACGTGTGTCTTTGGGGCTCACATCTTGTGCATCTGAGTGCTGGGGCACACACTGCCCCAGAGCACCAGCACTACCAAAAGGAGTAGCACGGGTGGCCAAGCAGATATGAACCCCATGTGGAGCCCTCCAGGGGCTGGGCTCTTACCGCTGGGTGCTGTGCGAGGGCCTCTCCAGGCCTCGGTGAGGGCCCAGTGACCCCCTCCTGCTCCAGGAGGAGAAACCTGGGATCGGGCTCAGAGGACTCTCTATTTGACAGGTGACTTAATCCCCACAACACTGGTCCTAAGGACCGGACTGTGTTACCATCTGTTCTTTTTTTTTTTCTTTTGTTTTTTGAGGCAGGGTCTTGCTATGCAGTTCAGACTGGCCTTGAGCTCACTTAGTAGCCCAGGCTGGTCTCAAACTCACAACAATCCTCCTGCCTCAGCCTCCCAAGTGCTGGGATTACAGGCGTGCACCACCACGCCCGGCACCATCTGTTCTGTAAATTAAAATAATGGTTATATTTCAAGACATAAATATCAGTGCACACACAAATATAAACGCACACGGATCAAGCATTGTTGGAGGGCAATGCTAGTGTCAGCAGTGCTATTTCTGAGATGTGACCCAGGCCATTTCTACTTCCTCTGTATTTTTTACTTTTTATACATGGGTGTGTGTTATTTAAGATACTTTCCCAGTGCAGTAGCTTTCTATCCTTTATCTTTTCCCCTAGAATCTGAATGGAGGTAAGAGCCGTATCTCACTTTAACGTTGCACCAGGGGTTTGCATTTTTCTAAAAGGCTGGTGGATGTGGCCCATGGTGGAATGAAGCCTCCCCACCCCACACCCCTTCCTTAAGGACTACCTTCATGGTTTTGTGCCACCTGTGCTGTTGATCACTGACTGCTTTTTATTTACCCACTTGTGTAAGTTAAACATTTTTAAAACTTCCTATCACAGTCAGTAGGTGCTATGGCTGTGTCTGGATGTCCCCCAGCCCTCGTGTACTCACAGGTGGGGCTCGGAGAGGTGGCTGGATGTAGTGTGTGATGCTGGGATTGAGTCACGGTACAATGCCAGGGCAGGGCTGCAAGGAGTGAAGGTGAGAGTGCTACCTGTCCTGAGGGCGGGTGGCCTGGATATGATAGAGGCAGAAAGAGGCTTGCTGCTCCTCTGGTCACTTGCTTGCTTTTGCTGTCTTCCGCCTGCTGTGAACTCTTCCTCCTCTGTGAAGCTGCCCTGCTTTGGGGCCAGCTAATGATTGACTGAAACCTTTACAGACTGTAAGCTACACAAACGTTTCCTTCTCTAACTTTGGATGCCAGGTGTTTTGCCCCAGCAATGAGAAAAAGCAACTAAGACAGATGGGAAAAATCTTTATTACTTTTCACTAGTGTAAAGTTGTAAAAATAAACACAATGTCCTCACACTTCAGTGAACAGTATAGTGTTTAGGCCCTGTTTTTCATCTTGCTGTGTCTCTGTCTCTATCTATGTCTTAAGAAACTGGGTCATTCAGGCTTCGTGCTCTGGATTTTTCTGAGCGCACCCCACAGTTGTATTTAACAGGATCCCCTGCCCATTGTATTTCCTGTAAATGAGTTTACGTATGTCTACAGGTTTGATCTTACTCAAATTTTAATTTAGGTTTGAGTCTTTTTAGGCAAGATTACATAGCTGGTGGAGTCTCCTCCCGCCAGGAGGCACCCTTTGTCTCATTGTCTCCTTTTGTACTAAGATCAGCGAGGAGCTGAAGTATTCCCAGCCTTACCCATCCCTTATAAAACTCTCTCAGTTTTTTACCCTGTGTTTCCACAGCCATGGATGATCCTTGAATACAACTGTTCATAATTAGGGGCTCCTAAATGATAATTCTAATCCTGTCGGTCCTTTTTTTACTGGCTATATTATTTCTATAAAGAGAAACCTGTCTTAATAACTATGGAGTTATTCTAAAGATCAGACTGCTTTAAAAAGCAAAATAAGTGCTTTCTTCTTTCCCTTTGAAATTCTGATAGTATGTTGGTTCTTAAGCATTCTCCAGAGGTGACACGGTTGGGTTGCTGACTTGAAGAAAGTTAAGGATATAAAGACATACAGAAAATTATTAAAGAATTTTGAATATTGGACATTTAATGATGTCAAGGAATAACTATGAATTTCAGATGAGTCTTCTAGTAGGTTAAAAAAATTCCCTGGCTTTTAGAGATGCAAGCTAAAATGTCTACAGAAGAAATCAATAATGTTTCTCTACTTTAATGAGTTAGGGTGAGTTTAGGGTTACAGTGACCCTGACAGCTTCAGAATAACTGAGGGGGAAGGGAGTATGCACAGGAGGGGGATTCCCTGTAAACTGATCTTTTCAATGTAAAGTCATTGTCACTCCTAGAATGCCACTGATGTGGACCCCACTCTTGGCAAACAGTAACTGATGTGGAACGGTTCAGAGCTCGGCAAGTGTGACACCTGTGCTTCTGTCCCTTCAGCGCCATCATAGAACACACCAACAGGGTCATCTTCCTGGAGGACGATGACATTGCTGCAGTGGCTGATGGGAAACTCTCCATTCACCGAGTCACACGCTCAGCTAGCGATGACCCATCTCGAGCCATCCAGACCTTGCAAATGGAACTGCAGCAAATCATGAAAGGCAAGTGTCCTCTGAGTCTGGGAAAGTCTTGGGGAGCAGATGTTCTGTCGGGGGAGCATCTGACACTGTCCCTTCCCGCCGACCATGGCCACCAGGCAGGGCTGCATGTGACTTGTGGTTTTTTTGGTTTTGTTTTTTTGTACTGGGAATCGAACTCAGGACCTTGTGCTTGCCAGGCAGGTACTTGTGCCACTGAGCTATATCCCCAGCCCCTTGAGCTATATCCCCAGCCCCATGGCCTGCATAACTAAGGAGCTGTGGAGAGCCTGACCTGTCCTTCCAAAGGGCAGTCTTCTCGATGTGACCCCAGTCCCTAGTCTGATTCCCTGGGATGCTTTCCTAACCCCAGCCATCAGTTCTTCTCTGAGGGGAAGGTCTGCAGTAATGGCTGAGGACCATGGACCACTTCCCTATGAGCAGAGCCTGTCCCCTGCACTGCCCTTGTCCCCCACAACCCCCACCTGCACAGGGTAGCCTCAATCAGAAAAGTTTTCAGAGCATGAATCAGACCCTGTCATCATCCCCATGCTTAAAGCCACCCAGTAGTTCCCTCTGTCTTCAGAACAGAACCCAAACTCCCTGCTTACACCCACCCAGCCCTCTCCTCAGGCCTTGCCCACAGGCCTGCCCACTCACAGGCCCAACCCTGCAGTTACTGTTCCAGTCATAGAGCAGCATGGCCTTCGGATCATCTGAGCTCCCCTGAAACCCGGCCCTCAAAGCGCCATCTCTGATCCTCTCAGCACCAAGGCCCCTGCTGACCCCTGCTGACAAAGACCCCTTTCCTCACTTCTTTGCTGCGTACAGCTCTGTCCTGGGTGGCAGATGGGAGAGAAGGGGCCCGCCAGGTCTCTGGAAGCCTCCATATCACTCATGGGGTCCCTTAGCCAGACTGTCTCCTTAATGACCATACAGGCCCATTCAGATCACAGCCTGGAAATGCACAGGTGGCTGGAGAAAGTTTGTCTCTATGGTAGCAGCAAGGAGGGTACTTACTAAGCAGACAATGCCAGGGCTGGGAGTATATCTCAGTGGCAGAGCATAGGCCCGCATGTTTGTTCCTTGCAGCCTTGTGTAAGTTCCTCCTTCCTTGAACTGCAGGGCCTCAGGTGTAGTTGGAGATGGTCCTTGTACCCAAACTGCTTCCTTCTAACTTGTCCCAAGAAGCATCAAGTAGAGTGGTCCCCGGGGAGGCGCCGAAATCTGTGAGGCTTTATAGATGTGCCTGTCACTACTGTGTAATGATTTTTCTTCCTGGTTAAAGTTAAGCTGTGGAAATGAAACTAAATGAAAACTAACACACCTCGTGGATGTTTGTTTGACCAGGGAACTTCAGTGCATTTATGCAGAAGGAGATCTTCGAACAGCCAGAATCTGTCTTCAATACCATGAGAGGGCGGGTGAACTTCGAGACCAACACAGGTAACCCTAAAACTCAGGAGTCGCTGCTGCGCCCTGTGCAGTGAGCCCAGCCACTGTGTGGGGCCAGCCCTGACACCCCTGTGTGTCCTGCAGTGCTCCTGGGCGGCTTAAAGGACCACTTGAAGGAGATCCGCCGGTGCCGAAGGCTCATCGTGATTGGCTGCGGAACCAGCTACCACGCCGCTGTGGCTGTAAGTGCAGCAGAGGGGCTCACAGGCCTGGGAGATGAACAGTCCCGGAGAAGACGCTCATCTGGGCGTTACTGGGCACCGGGCTCTGAACACCGCATGCTGTCCCCCATGGCCAAGAGCCAACCCAAGACGTGGCACCGAGCCCCTTTTCCTCTGCAAGCCCCCCGGCCTGGCCAGCACAGGACTGCCGCATCCTGCAGGAGCCTCTGGGGGGCTGGGGCCCCCTGTAATGACCCCCTGCCTCTCTTCAGGTCCTTGCTCACATTCAAGAATGAAGGGGGGCTTTTAGTGGGAAATGGGGTCATGACTGATATGGTACAAAGCAAATGTTCCTGAAAGTATGGCAAATGCGGAGGAAGCAGAAGAAAAGCCATCTTTACAGCAGATCCGGCTGTAGGACAGGGGGTGTCCCACTCAGGGTACCCAGTGGGCTAGGAAAGTGCTTCATACTTACAGGGGTAAGCTGGTTTCTAAGAATACTGCTTCACTGATTAGTGTGATCAGGGTCATAGCCTTTGTTTCTGGGAAGAGGACAAGGTTAGCTGAGGATTAGGCAGTCAATGTGAGCAACACTTGCAGTCCATCTCTCAGGTAGGGCCCATTTCTCAAGCACACAGGATGCAGATGAGCACGTGATGACTTTACAGAGTCAGCCATCGGGTCTTAGCCTGTGTTTTCTGCCTCTGCCTCGAATCTGCCTGGCAGCACCATGTTACAGACCATCCTGGGAAGCTCTGCTGCCCTGTGTCCTGTGGTGCCCAAGACTGACCTCACTCCCCACCCTTTGTCTTCAGACACGACAAGTGCTGGAGGAGCTGACTGAGCTGCCTGTGATGGTTGAACTTGCCAGTGACTTTCTGGACAGGAACACACCTGTGTTCAGGGATGACGTTTGCTTCTTCATCAGCCAGTCTGGTAAGCGGGCGGGGAGCATGGTCAGACTCGCACCAGTTTATTTCTTGCTCTCTTCTCTCTGCACCCTGCCACATGCCGCCTTCCCTGCTCTATGCGTTTAATCCTCCCTCCTCCTCCACGTCCCTCACCCTGCTGCAGCAGGGCAGTCACCCCTTAAAGGCATCAGCTCCTGCCACCATTCTATGACAGGGTGGAGTCTGGCCGAGAACCCAGGTCCTTTGTTTCTTTTGCCCCCTGCCACGTGGCTTCTCCCTGCTCCTGACATTCCAAGCCACTTCAAGGACCATAAACATTTGCTGGGTTTAATTCAATGGACAAAAAAATCTCATGCAAAATTCCACTGGGTTGAGATTCACACCGAGGACACGGCACGGACCCTGAGCCCAAGCCGCGCCACTCCCTTGTTCAGTGTCCACACTGCCCAGCAGAGACAGGAGTCACTGCTTCAGTTGAGGGGTCTCCCCGAGGAGAGAAGCCCTGCCGGCGCCACGCTGCGTGGCAGAGCTTTGCTCTCGCTTGGTTGAGCACAGGGTCCAGGAGGCGATCTGTAGCCGTGTGCTTTGGAGTTTTACAAGGACTTTTGAAATGTTTTAATTATGAAGAATTCTAAATTTTTATAAAGGTAGAGAAAGCTAATTCATCACCTAGTCCCAACAGTTATCAATTCAGCTGATCTATATCAGCCATTACCCACACTAGCCTTGCCCTTGAAGACCTGTCCTCCATGCATACTTCAGAATATATGATAAAAGACAAGAATGTAACCACAGGCCATTAGCACATCTGAGAATTCGGCAGTCGTGCTCCAGTGTGTGGAGGGACTTTTCATACTGCTTCTCTTTTCAATTTTCAATACCGTTTCTGTTTTGATGACAAGCTAAGTAAAACTAGTGCAGACACAGCCACCACCTGGCTGGCCACCTGTTTCTAAGGGCTGCCACGGTCACCTTTGGGTGGACCGTGCCATCAGAGCCAAAATGTACTTCATGAACTGGCAGGAGCCATTAGTAAAAGAGCAGAGCTGGAGTGCAGTGTGGTACTCAGGCCTGTAGCCCTAGCACAGTGGAAGGCTGAGGCAGAAGGGTCACAAGTTCCAGTAGCTTGGGCAATTTAGCAGTCGAGCAAGACTCGTCCCCAAGAAAAGGGGGTGGGGATAGGCCTTAGGGCCAATCTCCAGTATAGGGAAAAAAGAGGTGGATTTGATATAAAAATAATAGTCAGCCCCCAACTCTATATACAGGGAAAAAAATTCACCAGTGAGTTCAAGGCCAGCCTGAACTACACAGCTAGACAGAAACACACGGGGTGGGGGCGAGCCTGACACAGGTAGGGCGCTTGCCTCCTGGCTCCCCGCCCACCCACTCTTAGTGATGAGCAAGGCCCGTGGTCTGGAGGAAGCTGGGGGTGGGGGCACCAACCAGCGCTGCAGAAAAGCTGGGAAGAGCACAGCCAGAGCCGCCTCCCAGCCCCTGTGGGTTGGACTGGTTTTGATTCCGTGGTCTGGCGCCTATTTGTTTGGGTTGGATCCTTTGAGACTTCCCAGCGCCGAGTTTGCACGGGTTTGTGCGGGAACCTGTGTAAGGAGTTTTACGCAAACACCATGGGTCCACCGTGGGAGGCTCAAGAGCTGTTTCAAACGAGATCTGTTTGAGAAACACGGTGTTGCATGCTCTGGGTTTTACTGCCGAGTCTGAGGGACCTCAGCGCGTCCCGACCTCGGCAGCTCAGGGTCGGGGTGGGGTGGCCGCGAAGCCCCCCGGCCCTTGCAGCTGCGGGGACAGGACGCGGCCCGGGGGCTGTCAGGACGGTCGGCTGGTGCTTGCCGCGGAAGAATGCGCGCCTGCCGGCTTCCCGTGGGGGCGCGGGGCGCGGGGCGCGGGGCGCGGGCGCCAGTCACCCACTGACGCCCGCGTCCAGGCGAGACCGCGGACACGCTCCTGGCGCTGCGCTACTGCAAGGACCGCCGCGCGCTCACCGTGGGCGTCACCAACACCGTGGGCAGCTCCATCTCGCGCGAGACCGACTGCGGCGTCCACATCAACGCGGGCCCGGAGATCGGCGTGGCCAGCACCAAGGTAACGGTCCGGGTCCGGGTCCGGGCAGAGCCGACGTGCGCCCCGCGGTCCCTGCCTGCCCCGGCCGCCCGCCCACGCCCGCCCCTCCGCCCGCAGGCCTACACCAGCCAGTTCATCGCCCTCGTGATGTTCGGCCTGATGATGTCCGAAGACCGAATTTCACTGCAGAACCGGAGGCGGGAGATCATCCGCGGCATGCAGTCCCTACCCGGTGTGTCCGCGCTCTCTTCGCGTCCCCTCGGCCCCTCCCGGCCGGTCCCGCGGCTCCCAGCGCAGCTCCTCCTCGCGCGCCGCGGCCGGAGGAGACCGGGTCCCCTGCCCGACCCCAGCCGTGGCACGCCGCCCTCAGAGTGGACTGTTAGCCTCGCTCTGCAAGGGAATCACGCAGCCGTGTTTGTTGCCAATAATACACGTCAGGCTTTGGGTCAAAACTTAGAATTTTGGAGAAGGTTGTCTACCCCCATAACTTCACCACTTCCCGGCGTTTAAACGCTTCTCTGAGCTCATGGTGGTCTCCACAAAAGTGATTTAAAACGAAGGTTACAGTGAAATGTGTCCATTTTTAGAAGATTTACATCATTCTGTAGGCAATGCATGATATAAAATTAGGCATGTGTAAAGGAGCCATTTAAAGTACAAGATAAATACTAATCAGAAAACTTTAAGATTTCAAATTCTGTATTTGTAACTACCATTTAAAGAACTACCCGTTCTCAAGTGTTATAGTGTCAAAGAAGAATATTTGAATTATTTGGAAAAGTTATTTATTCCTTCCCTTTCCAACTACAGATCTGTGGAAGGCCAGTTTATATTTCAACCAAAAAATATGGAAGCAGATAAAAAGTCAGCTGCTTTCTGTTGGACATTAAAAAGATATGCAGAATGTTAAGCAGTGCCACTATTTGCACCCATTTTTTCCAGAAAAATGTCATGAGCTTATTTAAATGAATGAATGAATATTTTTGAATTTCTCAATGTTATCTTCTAATGTTGGAAATAATGAGATATAACCTGTGAAAACAAAGGCTCCCAAGGGACTTGCCATAATTTTTAAGACTGTGAAGGAATCCTGGAACCAGACAGTCTGAGGGCCCTAGTGGGGTGCACACACTTCGCCTTGAGTCAGCCAGAAAGAGCAACGTTCACTTGAGGCGTTGTCCTGGAATGTCCGCTCCGTCTCGCCAGCTGCTGATTTCACTTCTGAGCCTCAGTTGCCTTTCTATAAAATGGAGCGAGAAATAATAGCTCCCTAGCTACTGCAAGTGCTTTTAAAAGTCACAGAAATACGAATTACTGTCCCAACAGATTTCTTGCCAGTAGTCCAAGTTATTTCCCATAATCTAAGTTTAAAACCCTTCTAATGCAAAGAAGCAAAGTACACCAAGTAATTGAGTTCCAGACCTCATGTTATCCCAACACTTCCTTTATGAACACTGTTTTGAAGTCAGAATGACTGACTCTCCCTCTGCTTGTGCCTGTCTTAGAGCTCATCAAGGAGGTGCTGTCCCTGGAAGAGAAGATCCACGACCTGGCGCTGGAGCTCTACACGCAGAGGTCCCTGCTGGTGATGGGCAGGGGGTATAACTATGCCACGTGTCTGGAAGGAGCCTTGGTGAGCCCCCTCTGCCCAACCCCTATCCCAGCACCCCAGACAAGGAGACCAGTCCAGGAACCAGTGGGGACAAGGGCATGACCCAGGGAGGGAAGGGCTGGCCACCCTCTGAGCCCTGCTGTCAACCAGGCTGTTACGGCCCTGGGGACAGAGTGGGTGTCAGTCCCCAGGGAGCTCCCAGTCTGCCAGGAGACAGGGACAGGGCACCCTTGGGTGAGCCCCATGAGGTGGCTGGCCATGCCAGGCTCCATTTGGAGTAGCTCAGTCACATCTCATGGGCAGTGTCTGAGAGATTGCTAATAAATCCCTCACTGTGGGCAGAAAGCAAGCCTCCAGCAGGTTCATTAGCCTGCTCAGGATTTCATAAAGGAACTGAATTTTCCCACTGCCGCAAGCAGCCTGTGCGGGGGGGATTCTGAAGACCAAAATTGCAAGTGGGGTCTCTGCAGTGACATGGAGCCTCCATGCCCTCTCTGGACACATCGCCCTTGCAGAACTTCCATGCTTCCTTTCTCGTTGTCATGGAGACTGCACTACATAGGCATGATTGATTTATCATTGACCACTGATGACCACTTTAACCTTAATCTTGAGGTTGGGGGATAGAGCTGAAAGTTCCAGCTTGCTAATTCTGCCTTGATCTTTCTGGCGACCACCTGAGGAGCTGTCAGCCATCAATTAATCACTAGCACCTGGCCTTTGAACTCAAGAGTGTTTGGAGATTCTGACTGCTGCCAAAGAAAGTGAGGAGCTGTCACACTGCTTCTCAAGGGGCGCAGTGGAAACAGGGCCTGGGTGGGGTACACCCTTCGCCTCTGGTAAGGTAGTTCTGCTGCCAGGCTCCAGTGGCTCAGTGTACTGGTGAAAGGTGCGTATTTAACTGTCCCCAGTTAGTCACTGGGGAAAGAAAAAAGCTGCTGGCACAAGTCAGTGGCCCCTGTGTGGTCACTTGGAGGCCAGTACTCTGTCTCCACGTGCCAGGGAGGAGCCTCGGTCCTTCCAGTGTTTCCCTGACCCAAGTAAATAGCTCTAGGTGCAGAGATGTTTTCTTTGGTCTCATCAGTGCAATGACATGGATTTACTGGTAACTGAAGAGAAATGGATCTACCTCATGTACTGCAAACATGCATTAATAAAAAAAAAAAAGATCTACGTGAAGCTAAGAAAAAGAATAGCCAAGAGCATGCGGTTTTGTTAGGTCAGCTGAACAACGCTCTGGAAGTTATGACTGTCTAAAGTTGGAGTGATTAATCAACTAACATAAGGGCCCATCTAAGCAGGCACAGTAGTGTGGCCATACACAGTGACGGGGAAGAGACCGAGAGACTGGCTGACAGGGCAGGCGGGAGACTGGAGCCGACTTGGTGTCCAGCATGGGTGGCCATGTGTGGAACTTCGAAAGATGAGCTGTGTGCCTGGGGCTGGTCTAAGGACACAGGGACCATGAGCCAGTGACTGGGTGTGCCCGGGACACAGCCAGACCCTGGCCTGGCCTTGCCACTGCTGCTATGACTGCTCCACACACCCACTTGCCTTACAACCCTAAGCTCCTGCCTTCCAGAGTTACCCCTCTCCTAGCTTCCCTTCCTCCTTCCGGCTGACCTGCTCCCGCCCGTCTGCCCAGTGTGACACTGACCTCTTGTGTTTCCCCAGAAAATTAAGGAGATAACCTACATGCACTCGGAGGGCATCCTGGCTGGGGAGCTGAAGCACGGGCCCCTGGCCCTGGTTGACAAGCAGATGCCGGTCATCATGGTCGTCATGAAGGACCCCTGTTTTACCAAGTGCCAGAATGCTCTGCAGCAGGTCACGGCCCGCCAGGTGAGGCCTCTGTGGGTCCGGGGACACCTCCTCCCTGCTGTCTTCCACTAATGCCCACCTCACCCTCTTCATGCCACACCAGCTGTGGGTTGTGCTGCCAGGGAGCAGGCGTGATCACACACACACCTGTGCCTCTTGTAAGATGGGCACACACTTGGAAAGCAATGCCAGGCTGCAGCCAAACCCTACAGCTCCTCAGTGAGGTCCAGTGACCAGTCTGTCCCCAGCTGCCTCGGATTCTAAGCCTGGGGACCAAGGAGGCACGATGCCCCTGGTGGAGCATCCTGGAAGTGGGGTCTCTAAAGGTTACCTCAGGACCCTTCTGATGCGAAATAGGCCGAGTTAGGTCAGATTTCACAGGGGCAAGGCATCCTCACTTCAGTCAGGTGTTTACAGGGCTTATTGGTCATTCACACTTTTGACCAATCAGCTGTTACCAGTCAAGGTACACTGCTGGCCTGAGGACAGCTGATATTCTGAAGACAAAAGTTAGTAGGAAGGAAAGAGCTTTTATTAAAATAAGCAACTGAAAGGGAAAATGGCCAGATTTTTGTCCTAATGGACATTTCAGAAAGTTCAGGTTCAAAAAAGGGTGTTTTTTGTTTGTTTGTTTGCTGTACTGGAGATTGAACCTGGGCCTTTGGACTGAGCTATATCCCCAGCCCTTTTAAAATTTTTAAATTTTGAGACAGGGTCTCACTAAGTTTCCCAGGTTGGGCTCAAACCTGTGATCTTTCTGCCTCTCTAAGCGCTGGGGTACCAGGTAGGGACCACACAAAGGAGGGTGGGTGTGAAGGGCAGGGAGGTTGTGTGGTGAGATTTGCTTCTTCAGGAGTTGTTTTTCTTTCACTTAGACATCCCTGTGTTTAAAAGGGACCTCCGGCTCCTGGCCAGTCCTTTAACGCTGTACATAAGCACGTTATCTTCATACGAGTTTTTATTTTACAAACGGGATCAACAAGTCAATTTGAAGACCACCAGCTATCCCCATGCTGAAGACCTGAAGAAAGATCACTGACTAGGAGTCTGAGGATCATGTTTTTTGTCTTTGTCCTCTTTTCTGGAATAGTTGACTGTAGACATTAATACCTCAGCTATTTAAAGGGGGATTTTCTTTTAGAAGTAACAATGTGGGGGAAAGACAAAAAAACAGACAATGGCTTTACCAAGGGCAACTGTGCAAAGTAAACTTAATGCAGACCTGGTGGCATAAAACAAAATGGTGTGGCACTGCCACTGTTACCTGGCTGCAAACGGGGACGTTCCCATAACCCCTCAGCTTTGTCTAGAACAGCTCAGAGGACTCAGGAGAGTGCTGTCCCTCCTATTATAATTGGAATATAAGGGTACCAATCAGGAGCAGCCCCAAGAATCCACAGCCCTAGGGCCCCAAACCTGAACCTTCCATGACCTCAGGGTGAGTCACCCTTCTGGTGGAGCACCCCGAGCTCACCTGAGCTTCTGGCCTCAGTGCCCCTGACTTTTATGGGGGTTCATTAAGCAAGGATGACTGAACAGCTGATTGGCTTTTGACTGAACTTTATCTTCAGCTCTCTGTTCTGTCTTCAGGGCCCAAAGTCCCAATCCTATAATCACGTGGTTGACCTTTTTGTCACGCTCACCCCCATCCTGAAACTGCCCTTGGACCCATCATGAGTTATCGCACCAGCACAAACGCAGGTGTCATCCAAGGGGCCCATCATGAGAGGCAAAGATGCTTTCAGATCATTCAGGAAAGTCCAGAACATTAGTCTCTCCCAGAGACTGGGGACAGAGACTAGCCAGTTCTTTACTGTACAACGGCTTCCTCTGACACAGGGCAGAGCCCCACGGCTCCCTTTGGCAATGGCTTAAAAGTTACAGGAAGGTGAACTACAGTAAAGCGTTCAAGCCAGGGGCTGCCACACCTGTCTCAGCGCAGTGATCAGACCACACCATTTCCCTGCTGAAAACCCTCCTGCAGTGTCCCGTCCAGTGTAGTGACCCACGAGCCAGCACTGCCCATCCCTTTCCTCCTGCCTCCCTGAGTTCCAGACCCCCACCTCCTGTGTCCTACTCATGCCAAGCTCCTTCCTGCTCAGAGCCTTTGCACTGGGAGTTCCTCTGCCCAGAATGTGCTAGGCAGGTCAGAGTCAGCTCCTCATCACTGAGGTCTCAAGCCAGACATCTTTCAGAGCAGCCTTCCCAGACGTCTCCGAAGCCCCTCAGCGCACCGCCTATTTTATTGCCCTGTGGCATTTATCTAAAATCCATCTTCATGTCATGGTTTGCTTATGGTTCTGTTTTCCATCACTAGACGATAAGTCCCATTAGGGTTAGTTGTAGGGCTTTCTGGTCTTTTTGCAAGACACTCTGAAGCCACTCAACAAGGGGAGGGGGCTGAACGGTGTGAAGAGGTAGCAGTCACCTTACCAGGAAGGGATAGGAAGGCACCACAAAGCATCACACACTCAGTTGCTCACATAAATCGTGAACTGCACTTCACCCATAATTCCAACAATTGCATTAATGCTGATTCCAGAAATTGCAATGTGGAAATGGTTGCGTCTTTCAGAAATGACCTATTTTGCAATCATATTTCTCTACCCTAGGGCCGCCCGATTATACTGTGCAGCAAGGACGACACTGAAAGTTCTAAATTTGCATATAAAACCATCGAGCTGCCCCACACAGTGGACTGCCTCCAGGGCATCCTGAGCGTGATCCCACTGCAGCTTCTCTCCTTCCACCTGGCTGTGCTCCGAGGATATGACGTAAGTCTAAGCATTGCACCTACACCCCAAAGAGGACAGACACGACTCTGACACATACTTGTATATCCTTATGGAGTAGCGCGTGATGTTTCAAAGCACATATACAATGTGAAATGCCAAAGTTCCCTTTTCTTTAAGTATTTATTTACAGTAGATAGTCATTGGAGAAATAATTTCATTGCAAGTAATAGCTTATGTGCCCTGAAAACAAGCTGAGAACAGCAAAAAGGTGAAGACCACTGTCATTAAATTATAACCTTGCCACCCAGAGGCAACGTTAACAAACTATTTTATTCAAGTCTTTCTCTGTTTATATGAACTTCTAACAAACATTTCCCAATATTATATCAAGGATAAAATTTCCTTTTTATTTTTCACATCTTTATGAACTTATTATATGCAACATTTAATCACTACATAATATTTCATCAAAATCTTCTAACATGATTTTCCTAAGTTACTTAGCCATGTATTATTTTTTCCAATTTTTCATCTTCATAAATAACACTGCAGTGAACATCTTTGTAATGCCCCTTAGTCCCATATCTAAGAATTGCCCTTAATCTAGCTAATGAGACATTCTGAGATTCCAAATACATATTGCCAAATTATGTTCCAGAAAAGAACCACTTAGGATTTTATGTGTATCAGAACACATAATTCACTGTGCAAAGAAATGTTTAATTACAATTTTATTTGAGATGCTTTCTAAAACAAAGCCCACAATAGAACAAATATTTGAATGCGTTCTTAGCATCCAGAATTGACATTTGCTAACACTTTGTGGAATTTGTTTCATCTCCTCTTAAAATACAAAATAAGACATTGCAGGTAAAGTTGAATCCCACTTTATCACCATTCCCAATCATACTTCCTTCCCAACTTCCACCCTAAACACAAGTTTTTGTGAAATTATGTGTATTCTTCAAAAGAAGTGTCTCCTGCCTTCCTTCCCTCCTACCCTCCCTCCCTCCCTTTCTTCCTTTCACGGTGCTGGGGGCCAAACCCAGGGCCTCATGCCTGCTAGGCAAGTGCTCTACCACTGAGCTACACTCCTAGCCCACATCGAGCTAGTTGGTTTTAAATGCATGGATCATAATCTTTTAAAGAGTGTCACACAGCATGACACACCAGGTGCACACTAAGAGGTAAACATTATTCAGTGAAATGAAGCTCCTAGGAGGAATTCACTTCCCAGATGTAGGTATCAGAGTAATTCATGGTCGGAGGTGACCAGGAACACCTCTTTCCTTGCAACACACACTCTAATAATGGCCTTGAAGGTATAGCACATGGTTACTACAGAGAGCCTTTTCTGGCCCTTATCGTGGCCCAGGAAATTTATATTTGTAATCCCATGAAGAGTTACTGGAATCCTAGAGGCAGTTCCAACCTACCACATCCAGTGCAACCCGTGGCAAGAATAAAGACACTAAGACATATTTGTAGTTATGGGGAGCCAAGGGGTCCTAAGTCCAGCAATGATGATGGCCATCTGGAACAAAGGCCTCAACCCAAGGCCAAACCGAGGCTTTATTCCTTCATGAAGAAGGGAGTGGCTTGAGGATGAGTGACTGAGAACCATGGGAAGTAGGTGAGTACCACAAGCTGGGCTAGGTAGGAGGCCTGGATCACCTGTGCAAACGCAGAGAAAAGGACCTGCAGGAAGAGTGATCTGCATAATACAACTGAGATAGCATCTAATAGTTTGGGGTCGGTGCTTCAGCTCTGATGTGTCATCTTCAGAGCCCCAGGATGTCATGGCCTCTCTCCCAAGGCTCGATCGCAGCCAACAGTGTAGGGTACTGGCTCACATATCCCGCCTCATCCCAGCTCACTTGAGGGATCAATAGGGGTCCAGGGAGACACGCCCGCCATCTCCAAAGATCACCATCAGCACCTTGGCCTGACCAATATACATTGCTTAAAGCCAACTGAAGGGGTAAGGAACAGTCCCAGCCAGCTCTGTACATACCAATACATGGAAACAGCATCAGGCTCAGTCAAATGGAGGCGATTGCTCCTCTTTTATGGAGAGTAGCCTCGGTGTCCTCCACAGTTACCATGGTGGAGGCCTAAGCAGCATTCTCCTTTTCTTTCAGGTTGACTTCCCCAGAAATCTGGCCAAGTCTGTCACGGTGGAGTGAGAATCACCACCTTCAGTCTGCTTCGAGACCTGTCATGCAGCGGATGCCACAAGTGGGCACGCCCCAGTGCCACGTGTCCCCAGTACAGCTTGACAGCTTCAACGTGCCTTGTACCCAAGTGCTTTTGCTTACAGCAGATACTGTTTCTCTGTGTCCTGAAGTCACCCGAGGAGAAGGGAATCATTGTTTACACATGGGGATCAGAGCAGACTTTCCCACTGCTGTGCAATATACCGCTCTCAGAGTAACTGTGAACCTTTTTAAACCGACACTAGTTTTACAAAACAAAGTATTTATAATGATGATTGTATAGCTTTTAAGTTATTTTTCTAGTATGTGGCTTTCTGTAGCCATGGTAACGCCCAGACTCTTCATCTCAGCTACCCAGTGCACTGGTGCCGGGCTCACTCCTGGCGAGCGGCCCTCATCTCAGACTGAGCACAAGGGATCCAACCATCTGGACTTCTCTCACCCTCCCCTCCTTGGGCTGCTCCTGGTTCCTGTGCTTTGATGTCCCTGAAGCCCTCCTGCATCTTCCTGTGCCTCCCACAAGTCCAGTTGAAATTTCAGCTTCCTTCAATAACTTTCTCCTATTCTAGGGCCCAAAGCCCGGCAACTCTCTGACTTAGGTTTAATCGGACAACGGTTCTCAAGCCTAAGTAGCATTTTGGCCCCTGCTCCCTACCCATAGTAAAACAGCTTGAAATGGCCCATGCAAGAGGGTAGTTTCAAGTGGGCTATCCTGGTCTCTATTTAAGTGTGCCCAATCAAAGTACTACGCAATTTTATGACAATAAAGATAGTACATTTGCATGTGTTGTGTGTCAGGCTTTCATTAACCTCATTCTTTTTGTGTACTTTGGATACTGAAGACTTCCAAGGAGCTCAGCAGGTCTGTTTGTTAGTGCCACAATTTGGTTGTGCCATGATGTGGACGTTGGCAGGAACCCAAGCACTATGGTGGCTTTCCTAGACCTCCATCTTCCAATCCTCACAAGTTAACAAGGGGCTGCCTCCTACAGGAAATAACTAGACTGTTTCTGTCTTCCTGATCAAACCATGATCAGTGTAACTCCTAAGATGAGGAAACTGTTTACAAACTAGCCAGAACATGTTTATCTGGTCAAGACCTAGAAAAATGTATTTCACCCTTACATCCAAGAGGCAGTGGTCACCTTCTGTGCCAGTCATTCCCCTTATCCTTGTAGTTCTACCTGTGTGTTTATCCTCAACAATACATACTTGGCCTTCTGTACCCGTGGGTTCTGCATCTATGGATTCAACCAACTACAGACCAGAAATATTTGAAAAAATTCCAGAGAATTGCAAAAATCAAAACTTGAACTGCTGCACACCAAGTAGTATGTATGCTAAATCCACAGGAATGCAGTTATATGTAGGCACTATATTAGGTATAATGAGTAATCTAGACATGATTTAAAGTATAAGAGTATATTTGTACTTTATGTGCAAATGCTGTTATTTACATAACGGACTTGAGCACCTTCCACTGATCATGGTACCCGTGGGGAATCCTGGATCCAACCCCCTGTGGATACTAAAGGATGACTGTATCGCCTAGTTTTGAAAATGGAGGACTAGCACACACTGCCCCTGCTGTACAGAGGCTACAGGAGATGAGGGCAAGGGTCTCTAGGTCACCATCTGACTTCCACTTGAGGAGCACAGCAGGCCCCTTCTGGGGAAGTCGTTGGCAAGGTCACCAGAGGGTCTCGGGAGACAGCTCAGCACAGGCAGACACCCGGCAGGCGGAGGTGCGAGAGGGTACTGGGCCCACAGCAGAAATGCGGTGGAGGGAGGGAGGAAGGGCTCTGCCCCTTCTGCTTCTGAGTGTACTGCGCCCCCTCCGGCTCCGGGGAGGAAAGCTGAAGGCTGTGAGTGGTGTGTGTGTCCTGAGCACACGGTCAGCACCAGCATGGAGTTTTGAGGACCTTGTCCCCGCTCTCCCGGGCAACCGCCTGGGTGTTGGTGATGACAATCTACTTCTTGGGTCACGTTGCAGAATGGCTCAGTTTCCCTCCACATCTGGGGCAGAGCTGTTATCCAGATGACCTTCATCCTCCCAGGGGTTCCATCTCATCTCACAGGTTGAGGTTCTGTCTTCTTTTCTTGTTTTAATGGGACACACCCTTCCTGGGAAAAGGTGCCTGGGAGGTGCTGTGGTTTGAATTTCCTCACCAACACTCATGTTGAAATTTAGTCCCTGTGGTCAGGCATTAAAAGGGTAGAAACTCAATCCAATGTGGAGCTTGGGTCTTTGGGAGGCAAACGAGGTTCAGTGAAGCTGCCATAAGGAGGGGTCCTAATCCAGCAGGAGGTTGCTTTGTAAGAGGACGAACTCCCTGCGCCAAGGTGCCGCGTTCCTCTCATGTGAATCTCACTGTGCTGGGACTCTGCAGAGTCCGCGCCAGCATGGACTTCACAAGAGCAGCCGCCCAATCTTGAGCTTCCAGCCTTCAGAACCTTAGTTCATTCAGCCCACTATGACAAAATACGACGCCATTAACTAGGTAATATAACAATAAACCATTTGTCGCTATTTTGGAAGCTGGGAAGCCCAAGACCAAGGAACTTGAAGATTTGGTGCCTGGAGAGGACCACTTCCCAGTTCATACACAAAAGCCCTCTTTTGTGTCTTCCCAGGTAGAAAGATGAGAGGGTTTCCGGGGGCCTCTTTCATGAGGGCACCAATTTCATTCACGAGGGTTCCACCTTCATGACTCAATCACCCTGGACAGGTCCCACTTCCAATACCATCACTTAGAGGGTTAGGGTTTCAGCACATGAATCGGGACTGCAGGCACACTGAGACCACAGGCCAGGGTACAGGTTTTGAAAGCTTCCAGGTCTGGAAATGACTTTATTACTCACACTGATTGAGGGTTTATGTAAATATAGAATTCTAGGTCAAAAAAGTTTTCCCTCTCAAAGTACAGTAATGCTCTACATTTTGTTCCCAGTGTTACCGTTGAGGAGTCCAAAGGCACTCTGATGTGTCTTTGTAGGTGACCTAATCTCCTACTTGTTCCCTGTGTTCTAAATCACCATAATGTGGTGTCTCCGGTCTTTGTCATTTAGTGTTAAGTTCAGGCGAGTAACTCACGCCCTTCGGTGCAGTGGAATCTTCTTACATTACGGTACTTTGTTGCAGAGTTCTTTGTTTCTCTGGCCTCTCTCTACTAGAAGTTGAAGCCCTGGATTGACCAGTATATTTATCCTTCCTTTTGTTTATCTTGTTGTCTACTAATTGTTAAACTTCTGTTTTCTCTACCAACCTGTTACAAGGATTTTTCATTTCTGCCAACATGATTTAATTTCCAAGCACTCTTTGCTTTGAATATAGTATTTCATAACACATTTTTAAAAACTAAAGTCCATACTATAATTTAATATTTATCTGATGTACCTTTTAATGTTCTGGGACACCACATTTACGTTTTCTTAGGCTCCACTGGGCAGTGACTTCCTGACTTTCCTCATTTTGGTTGATCTTGACCAAAATTAGGAGTACTGGTGGGTATTGTGCGCAGTGTCCCCGGGTGGTTTGTCTGATGCTTTTCTCGTGGTCAGAATGGCGAGATGGGTTCTTGGAGGAAGACCACAAGAGTGCCACTGTCATCACTTTAAATCAAGGGTGCACACGAGCAGCAAGTCTTACTCGTGATGCCGACCTTGATCATCCGCCTGAGGCAGTGTGCCAAGCTTCTCCAGGATAAGTGTACTCGGCCTATTTCTGTATTACTTTGTTGCTCATATAGCTCTAGGTCTGGTTATCGGAGACTCTCAGTTGGCTTTTGTGTCCGACATATCCCAATCACTGTGGGTTTTCCCTGCCTACACTAAATAAACTCCAGGTTCATCCCGTGCATTTCCTGCCCCAGCCCCAGTATCAGGCATTCTCCAGGGACCCCTGGTTGCTTTTATCGGAGAATGGCATTAGAAATCAAGATCTGAACTCCTGGTGTGCTTGCTGCACTGACACCGCTATTTCTTGGCCACCTCAGGTGAGACAGCAAGGACATACATATGCATACTGAATATTCGTTAAATGACTGAGTCTCACATCAAGGGTGTAAATTTTTTCATTCTCTGAAGTCACAAATGATACACTTTTTCTTCTGAAATGTCCTCCATACATAGTCTCTGTTTCTTTTAAGATGCCATCCTCCGCTTGATGGCCTTAGTTTTCTTTGCCAGGTGGGTTTGGGCTCTCCACTAAGATTCCAGATGGGCTGGTCGGGGGTTCTGAGTGCACGGTTGGGCTTACTGATGCCAAGATTCAGTGTGAGGAAATTTGGGGAAATCCATAGCTCCAGAGGCTGTGGATAATTCAGGCCTTTTCTTAGGGCTGTTGACACTTCCAGAAGAGCCTCTCTGGTCCCTTGTCTGGCAGTGAGTCTAGGTGATGGTGTTTGGGGGATGCCCGGAGGGGAAAGCAGAGGCTCATCCCACACTCCACTGTACCGCTGCTGAGTAACACTGCTTCCACGCGGCACTCAGGCCTCTGCTGTGCTCCCGCATAGACACCTCTCTCCTATGGTGGCTTCTGCCTCTGCCAGCGATTCTCCTGCTGTTTCCGTATGTGAGCCCTAGCGCTGCTGCCCAGACCAGCTGACTGGTATAGGAGCGGCAGCCCCACCCACAGGACTCTAGGAGCCCTTCACTGTGAGCTTTCAACCTCAATCTGTGACAGGAGGCCACTCCCACCCCCTGAGAGTTGGAAGAGCAGGGACACAGGCGGGAGGCTACCCCGAGGGAGAGCACCTGGCACGGAGAAGAGCAGGCTACTACGGAAAGCCCACCAGTGGCTCGGCAGGCTCTGGGCCTGTCCCAAGGCCAGCTCCCCTCCTGCCCTGCCAAGGTGTAACACCAAAGGAGCATTCCAACAAATGTTCTGCGGCGGTGTGGGTATAGTGTGAGCGGCCTCACTGCTTCACTGCTGAAACGTAATCCTCATCAGGAAGTGCTGTATTAAGAGAACTTATTTTGATGACAGTGTTTAGAGGTGGGGCCCCAGGAAGTGATTAGGATTATTAAGGTGTAGCCCCCATGACGAATCTTGGCTGCTTTAATAAGAAGAGGCCAGGGAGACACATATGTACTTCCTGTCTCTTACCATGCGGTACCTGGGACCACCTCAGGACTGGGCCAGCAAGCAGGCAGCACCAGCTGCGGCCCCTCCACTTTTCATTTACAGGACCATGTGCCAAAATAAACCTTTTTTCCCTGGTTGTGTGTGTGTGTGGTTTTCACTTTTTGTGGTACTGGGTATCAAACCCAGGGCCTCACACGTGCTAGGCAAGCGCTCTATCACTGGGTTACACCCCCAGCCCTAAACCTCTTTTGTTTATAAAATAGTCTATTGAGGATTTCATTACAGTCACACACACACAAATGGACTAATACTTGTCCTCCGTGGTGTAAGCTGGCTTTCTACAATATACAACTGAAATGGTTCTTATACCCCTTGGCACATCACTGGCCCTCGTAAAGGTTGAGAAGAGAAATGGGTTAGGAGAGCAGGGAAGCGCAGGCAAGATGAGGGGAGGGTGTGAAGGCCAGCTGGAGGAAACTTGAGTCCCTGCAGGCATGGTCTACACTCTAGGCTGCCTGCCTGTCTCCTGGAGCATCTCATCACAGCATCCCCACAGGCTAGGACTGAGCGCACTTCCTAAGAACTAAGGAGTAAATATCCTGTCCCAGAGCACATGTGATAAGCACAGCGCCAGACCAGAACCCAGGCCAGTGAAGGATGGCCAGGATCTGGATCCATGGAGGGTGTACATGCAGCC